GTCCGTCGTGGCACGTTGTCCTGAGCGCTGTGGCCGTCTCCCTGTCCTCGCACGCTTGGACGAGGTTGCGAGGACCATGGCGAGACATCGGGGAGGCAAGAGTCAGAGCCCACGCGCCATGTTAGGAGGAGCCACGCCTTCAGATTCGCCCTTCGCGGAGTAACCTGAGCTCTATCGCGAAGCCTCACCGACCATGTTTTCCAGATCGTGTAGTCTTTGCACGCCTCAACTCCGCTCTTGGTGCAGCGCCTGACAGCGCCGCCGTGCCCACTGTCCGCGGCACCCGTGCTGCCTCAGCAGCCTCCGCCCGCACTGACCTCGGTGCCTCCCGACGCTGCAGCGCCATCGCTCGCGCGGCACGCATGGCACTGCCGGTGCAGACGGGCTCCCTGCGCGGGGGCGCCCGCCCCCTCCGTTGCCACACCCGTGGCGAGCCAGAGCGCCTGCAGCCACAGCGCGCACGCACGCGCGGACGATGGGCGCCCTGCACCCGTGGAACGGGCGCCCGCCAGGCCTACAGATCGGCAGGGCTCCCGGCGCCCCGATGGCCTCGGTCCGCGGGGCTCCCGAGCGCTCGGCCGCACAGTTGGGCCTCCGTGGGCTCCCCTTCGCCACGCGTGTACTCGGCTTCCTGTCTGACGCTCTCGCGACCTCGCCTCCCTGGCACCAGTCACGGCGCCAAGCCGCAAGCACATGCGAAAAACGTTTGGAGTAGGAAGGACAGGCTCCTGCAAGGGCTAGCAGACGCCACGGAGGGGGCGACAGAGGCTTAAAGCAGCTTGCGACAGACATTGAAACCGCAACCAGCCCAGAGCTTTGTGGGCCCCGGAAACGGCAGGACCGTTTTTTTCACCGCTTCCAAAAAAATGTCCCTTGAAAATGGAAACGGCAAGAATACGGCGACTGGAAACGGCAACAAAAACGGCTCCAGGATTAAAACCGGAGCCGGAACCGTTCAAAAAACGGCGACGGAACCGGTAAACAAACAGCGTCGGAAGCGGCAAACATCGGCAGAACGGAACCGGTAACAAAAACGGCCCTGTCGTTTCCAGGGCCCACTAAGGCCCAGAGGGCATCCGAGCATTCCCCTGCCTCTCTCCCGCACCGGTCCTCGACGGACGGAGCATCTCGATCCGAGGGGCCCCCGAGCTCGCGCCCGCACACTTGGCATGGACCTCGTGCCGCGGGTCGGGGCTCCCCGAGACCTAAACCTGGCTCTCCGACGAATCGAACTCTGAGCCTGGATTTTTTGTTGGTGATGGATCTCGGACTCTGGGGCCACGTTTCTTGGGCCCCAGAGCCATCGCAGACGGATCCGAAACGCAAAGCTCTACCCCGGGGAAGGGGTCCGGACCTCTGGGGCCGCGCACTCATTCCTGGACCTCTGGGGTCTGGACCTCGTCGGATGTTTGGGAGCTATCAGACGCTGGCCACTGCTCAGATCCGGGCGACGCGTGAAATGCATAGCGACGACCGGTGTTCTATGACCTCGGCCTCCAGGGGCCCTTCCCTGGCGCCGGGGCCGTCAGCAGAACGACTCGGGATGATAAACGGGTCCCCGGCAAGAGGTCGAGATCTCCGTGGGCCCACGCTGCGAACGACATGCAGCTTCGGAGGAGAGGGGCCGTGTTCTTTTCTCCAGGACGCCGAAGGTGTTGGTCCCCCCCCCTCCCTACGAGGCCCTCTTCTACGTGGGCATCATCTTCATCACGCTCATCACCCTGGTCCTCGCCGTGGTACTGCGCGAGCCCCCGCGCGTGTGACCCGTGCCGGGCCTGCCGAGCGCTCTCGCGATCGGGCCTGCGGCCCCCTGAGTGCTCGGGTCGTGCTGGCTAGTTTTTGATGGCGCCGTCTGGCTGGATTCGCTCGGAGACGCGGTGCACGGAGCCAAAACAGCGTGCCCCGGTGCCTCGAGGGAAGGCAGGTGCCTCGAGGGCACTCCGCGCCTGTGCACGCGCGATCCTCGCCTGGTCCCTGAGTGAATGCCTCGTGTCTGCGGCTCGTTCGCCGCACGGCCGGCGACCGCGGCGGTGCGGCGATGGAGCCGCGCTTCGGTCGCCGACAAAGCGGCAGCGCTGTCCGCAGATTCGAGTCAGTCTGGCAGGGGTGCTGCTCGCTGGGGAGAGGAGCGCACAAATTCAAGGGGACAGCATCATTCAGAGCCCCAAATCATCAGGGGTAACTCGGGTCAGGGCTAACTCGGGTTCGTTTTTCGGGAACCCGAACCCGAGTTACCCCGGACCCGAGTTACCCCGGATAAGTCGGGCGTCCAGATGCCCAAATCATCAGGGGTCACTCGGGTCAGGGCTAACTCGGGTTCGTTTTTCGGGAATCCAAACCCGCGTTACCCCGGACACGAGTTACCCCGGATAACTCGGGCGCCCACAGCATGTGGGTGCGTTTGATCCGCTGTTCGCCGCGCGTCTGCCTCCCCAGCGAACTAGCCCTTCTGGCACTTGACACCTTGACCATCGTCGTCGCTGCCAAACAAGGTAATGGCATACCAACCTTTGCACCCTCCTTGTGGTGACAAGTTTGATGTCAAGCGGGGGCAAATGATTACGCTATGTGCCACCAGCCACTCTCTCTCTCTATTTCTCCTTCCCTCCCTGGCGGCCGCTATCCCTCTCTTTCTCTCTCGCTTTCTCTCCCTCGCTCCCGCCTGCCCTCCCCCCTCTTCCGCATGACCTGCGTGCCGGAAGCTGCCCACCCTTGCCTTAGGGTAAGTCGGGCCTGTCCCTCTACAGGAGGAACATCCCGAAATAGTCAAAAAATAGTCAGGGGACTATTTTTGTTTAACTATGTTTGACAATTTTGGCGCATTTTGCAAGTATGCTTTATTTTTCGACGAAGTCCCCCTGTAGGGGGACACGCCCGACCCAACCTTAGGGGGCATCGCGCACGAGGACAAGGACGACGAGAAGGAGCAGCAGCAGAGACGGAGAGAGCGCGGAAAGGAGGAGGGAGAGGAGAGCAAGAAGGTGAGGAGGAGAGGAGAGGAGGAGGGAGAGGAGGGGAGGAGGGAAGGAGGGAGCGAGGAGGAGGGGAGGAGGGAAGGAGGAGGGAAGGAGGAGAGGGGAGCAAGAAAGCGAGCGAGGAGGGGAGGAGGGAAGGAGGAGCGCAAGAGAGCATGGTTTCGGCGACGCCGCGGCGCCCCCTCCGTGGGCGTTCCAGGTGGAACGCCGCCAGTGTCCCAGAATCAACCGATGCGGAACGATCTGGCGACGGACGAGCCGCCGATCGGTCAAGGCGGAGGGATCCACGCGGTGTCACAAAGCAACGCCAGGATCTTCACGACACGTACCCCAGATGTCGTAATAAAAGGGAGGGGGTCTGGACCCCTCAAGATAAGCCATTTCAGACCCCCCCCCCTGGGAGAATCCTCCAAAACATCGTCCCCAGACCCCCCCAGGCCCTCCAAGACAGCCTGGAAGAGACCCCCCCCCGAAATGAGACCCCCCTCCCTTTATTACGAAATCTGGAGTAAGCTTCTGCACGGAGGGGGGGCACGCAGGAGGCGATGGGGAGGTCCTTCTGGCCGCGCTCCACGTGAGAGGGGCGGCTGCTCCTCCTCTTCGAGGCCAGAGGTCTGCGGACGGTTCTCACGGGGCAGGCCAGGCCCTGGCCAGGGAGGCTATAGCGGCTGTCCAGCTTCGGGGCACGCTTTCAGCAGCTGCGCCTCTCCGAGAGCTTTCAGGGGGTGCCCGCCTCCTCCTCCTCCTCCTCCTCCTCCTCCTCCTTCTCCTCCTCCTCCTCCTCCTCGTCGCCGCGAACAGCAGCGGGAGACCCGAGTTGTGACCCGAAGATCGTCCCGGAGGTGAGCGCCTCGCCCCCCGATCGCCTTGTCATCGCCGACGGGGGCCGATAGCCCGGCCGCCCAGGGACGCGCGGTTTTGCCATCGAGGGCACATCGCCGATCTATCGACGATTTATCGCCGATCCCAGCTCGGAGTTCGCCCCCCCTTCTCCCACTGAGGACTGTGCCCAGGAGGCGGCTTCAGACCCTGGAGGGTTCCGTATCTGATGAGGGCGGCGCTGGCATCCAAGGCCGAGCCTCAATCGGTGTTCCGCCAGCATCCAGACCTTGGATTCCTTATATGAGGGCTCCACTTCCGATGCCCCCACCGCATCGTTGCCCATCCTTCCTGTCGAGACAAGTCGTAGGGGGTTTGGCAGGGGGGTTTGGGCCGGTCCAGCTGCCACAGTGGCCGGTGCTGGCTGGAAGTCTGTCCGGCCTCGCTGAGCGCGCCCTTGCCGGGGCAGGTCGCGGGGCAAGCCGCCGCCGCGCCCGATCGGCGTAGCCACAATTGATCAATCCCCTCCTCCCTTCACACCATCCTTCTGGGGCGCGATCCCTAGGAGCTTTTACGTTCCGCATCGGCGCTTGCAGGTCCCTGTGCGAAAGCCAGCCGAGGCTGGCCTCATCCTTTGTAATCTTGTGAATCTCGCTTGATGCGGCTTCGTCCAGCTTCTTGGCATCGCTCGGACGTGTGCATTTTTCCTTCGGCGCGGACCCTCGAGAAACATCCTTGATCATTTCGTGAAAAAAAACCACGCACGAAACCGAAAAAATCACAGGAAATGGACGTCCGAGCGATGGCCAGGCTTAACACACCTCTACCCTCTGCTCCATGCGGCCCGATGCGGCTCAGTGGCCCGTGAGCCGCTGCGGCGAAGACTTCCGGGGGTTGCGCTCTGACGCCTGCCACCCCCCGCCCCGCATTGCCATCCCCTCCCTCCGTGCTCAGCCACGCTGGCTCAACGCACACAAATCGCGGGGTACTCTACAGTCGGGGCGCTGAAGAAGGAACCCTTTTCGTTGGGGAGGGGCTCGTTGTTCCTTGATTGTTTCACAGCTTGCCTCAGGTTGTCCCTGCGTTTTCGATGGGAAATCGATGTTTCACTTATGGAAAAAAGGGGCCTCGTTCCTTATTCAGGATTTCTTAGGTCAACGCCCCGACTGTGCCCGTGCTCCTCGGCAGCCCACGCATACGGCTCCCATGAGGGCTGCCCGCGCAGTTCTGTTCGCCCTTCCCATCGCCGCAGCTCTCGGCCCTCGGAGCCGCAGCTCCCCGCAGCTGCTCGGCGCCCAGTCCTCCCAGTCCTCGGTCCGCGCGACCACGGGGCTGTCGGCGTGGGGCCGCGACGCGGCGTCTTCGCACAGCCAGGTCGACAGCGACGCGGGCGACAACACGGTGGTCGGAGCCTCCGCGGACGACGAGGACGTGACCCGGGCCGCCGAGGACGACCCCGTGATCGGGGGGTCCGTGGACGACTCCGAGCCGCCGGGCGGCGAGGACCAGGGCCAGGAGGCGCCGTCGGCCGCCGCGGGAGTTCTATAGGCGTCGGGGCTCTCCCGCTAACGGGGGCCAGCGCTTGCCGGGGCTCGGGCGAGCCTCTCTGGCTGCCCCGAGTCTGGCAGCCACGTGGCGTCCATTCCCCCCTTTGTCTGCCCTACGCCGGCTGACCCGCCGGCCCGGCTTCGCGACAGGGCCCAGACACCGACCCGGAGTTGTTCTGACCCAGGTTGGCGCGGCCCTGAAGGCGGACGGTTGCCCAGACGTGCTCCGCTGCCGACCGCGGCACGGCCTCTCTGGGGGACACGTTCTTTTTGCGTGGGCTGCTCTCGACCTCCTCTTGTCGTTGTCCCAGTCAATACTCGGGTCGGACGATACGGTTTGGTTAGCAGATCAGTTCGCGTAGTTGGATTGATTTCACGGCGCCTCCTGGCGCTGGAGGCGGCCGTGCATCGAGGGATGCGCCCCCAGCGGCGGAGGTGAAGCCTTCTGCACGCAGCAGATTTCGTTCCACACCCCCCTCCCTGTCCCAAAGTACCCCCCGTTTCGTCCGGCCCGATCTTGGAGCACCATTCAGGACAAGGGGGGCAATCATGAGGATGAGCTTACATCCCGACGCTCTCCCCTGCGTCATCGTTCTCCCCATCACCCTCCCTGGAAAATCCGAGGCGGGAATTTGTACATGGCCACCGCCTGGAGGGTCAGGTTTCGGAGCCTCGGCAGGCGGTGGATATGGACATATTCGCGCCCCCGGGGGCCGAAATATTTCCATGTCCACCGCCCGCTGGGGCACCAGGACGTCGGTTTCCAGACGGTGGATATGGATAAATCCCCGCTTAGCAGAAAAGTCGGTCATTCATCCTGTGCAGCCGCGCTGGCAACGGCAGAGCAGATGACGAACGTAGAGGTGGAGGGGGGGTAATGAAAGGAATTAGGAGTAGGACAGCGGGCTCATGTGACGCTTCCCTCTCATAATTGCGTTCATGGCCAGTCAAGCGACAGACACCACAAGACAGACAAACACATGAACTCATCGTCCGCTCTTTTGCGGCCTGCTCCCGGCTGGCACATCAGGCGTCCGGGGCGCGCCATTGACCATGATTTCATGGCGGCGGGCTCCTGGCTTACATATCAGGTAGCTGGTGCGCATTTTTGAACCATGGGGCTCGGATGGCTGAGACGGCAAACTTGCGACTGTATTTTGTTGCGCTGGATAGTTACGCGCCAACCAAAGGAAAAAGTCCTTCTCACAGAGGGTTGGAGGAGCAGAAGCCAGGTTAGAATTTTAATGGTCGGTCCAACGTCAGATTTTCCCTCCTCCTCCTCTTGTTCCTCCCCATGAGCTCCTCTCTCCTCTCTCCTCTGTCCTCCTCCTACTCCTTCTCCTCCTCCTCCTCCTCCTCCTCCTCCTCCTCCTCCTCCTCCTCCTCCTGCCTCCTCCATCTCCCCCAACCCTCGTCCGTCCTAATTCTCATCCCCCTCGTCGTACTAACCCCCGCCCCTATTTCTCTCCGCCTCCCCCCCCTCCTTCTCCGCCTCCTCCTCGTCCTCCTCGTCCTCCTCCTCCTCCTCCTCCTCCTCCTCCTCCTCCTCCTCCTCCTCCTCCTCCCCTGGCTCTCCGTGCCACCCCTCCCCTCATCCCTCCTCGTCCCTCCTCTTGATCGTCTGTGCGCTCCCCAGGTTCGGCCTGGCGAGGCCCCGGGGGCACCCGTTCTCGAATGGCCCCCGCGTCGGCAGTGATGGCCCTGTGATGCTCCCCGCTCCCGCGCACCCCCTCGGATCTCGAAGAAGAAAAGACGTCATAAACATAAATTGGTGGCGCTTCGCGCGGACTTCTTGGATCTGCGCTGGGCCCCCCCTGGCCCCTGGCGCGCTCTGCGCGCCAGGGAGGGGGGTCCAGCTCGGATCCACGAATGCCGCGCGGAGCGCCAAAAGTTGCTGTTTATGGCGTTTTCTCTCCCAGGAGGATGAGGAGGTGGAGGAGGAGGAGGAGGAGGAGGAGGAGGAGAGGGAGGAAGAGGACGAGGAGGAGGAGGAGGAGTAAGGGGGAGAAGGAGGAGGAATGGGAGGAAGAGGAGGAGGAGGAGGAGGAGGAGGAGGAGGAGGCAGGAGGAGGAGGAGGAAGAGGAGGAGGAGGAGGAGGAGGAGGAGCACGGATCCGCTGGGTCGAGCAGGCCCACCGGCGGCGCCACCGGGGGGGGGCCCGCCGCGGGCCGGTGGCAGCAGAAGGGCGCGCCTGGCTGTCTGGGGGGCTTCGGGCCCGCTCCCCGCGCGGCCGCTTAGAGTTTGGTCGGGCATGTCCCTCTGCAGAAGGAGTATTCAAAAATAGACAGAAGATAGTCTTGGTAATTACGACTTGCCATCATTTCTGCATTTGTTGAAAGCACGTTGTGACTATGTTTTCTAGTTCCTCAAAAAGACCTATGTAGGAGGACATGCCCGACCCGAGCTTAGAGTCATCCGCGGTGCGAAGTCCGTGCGGAATGCTGCGCCGAGGAGCCTGCTCACCGCCCACCAGGCCACCAGGCCACCCAAATCTACCGCCCTCGATTTTCAGTGGGGGGGGGCGGGGAACATTGGAAAGAAGACCCGTGCGGCACCCGTGCCCCCCAGCCAACCCGAAGCTGGGGCCTTCGGGTCAGGCTGGGGTGGCCCGGTGGCGGCCTGGGGCTCCGCCCGCTGCCGAGCAGACGGAGGCGCGGCCCTGGAAGAGCTTGCGGGAGCCAGAGGAAGCACGCAAGTTACGAGAGGAGGAAGATGAGGGAGACGGAGGCGATTATTCCTCCCCCTGTCACTCCTCCAGCCTCGGCGTCCAGAGATCCATCGAAGGAGGCTGGGGCCAGCAATCTGTCGAAGGAGGGCCCTCCCCCTGTTCACTGGTCCGCATCCCCTCGCTTTCGCTTCCTCAGCGCCCTTCTCGTTGCCGCCCACCGTTGTCATCACCACGGGAAGCGCGATGATCAACACAGGCTTCGATTATCTCGGTAAACGTGAGGTCTCACTGTCAGTTGCCGAACAGATGTGCTTTGGAAGTGGCCTTCGCGGCCACGCCCAGTCCACACGAGCATGGTGCTTGCTTGTCGTCGTTATCACTAGGCGTCGTCATCTTCAGGTTCCCATGGTTACCAACGCCTAGAGACGGGCGTCGCCCTGCTGGGGCGCACATGAATGTGAGTTAGCAGCAACATGATCAGTTTTACATCGCCTTCTGTTTCTACATCCGTCGGCAGTTCTCTCAAATTGCTGGAATTGACGCCCTGTCCTAATCGGGCTGCTTGTCCACCTCCAGCGCGAGCTGGACGCATGGGCTCGCAGGATAATGTCAGCCGATGGCGCTACCAACCTGCGAACGGCATCCACACGTACACCCGCAAGGAGCCCACCATAAATTCCGAGCGCACAAAGATCAAGGTCATGCCCGGCGAGGTGGCCGTGGGTCTGAAGAGAGGATTCGCCAGCACGGAACGCGCCTTGGGCCATCATGGTTGGCAGCGCCGGCTAAGGGGTTGTCGGGGAGGGGGAGGGCGTTCTGTGCCGGGGGGGCAATCGATTGGGCCATGGAATCGGGGTGGCCTGACCGAGTTCGGATTCAACCGACCCTGTCCGTGACCACACCACCGCCTCGCCTTAAGTCGGGCTTGTCCCTCTACAGGAGGGATATATGAAAGTAGTCCAAACATAGTCTCGGGACGAGTTTTTGAATATGTTGGACTGTGTTTGAACATCCGTAAGGGCTTCGCCCCCTGCCGCCGGCCCCCTCTCTCGGATAATGGGCAACGCAAGAGCGAAAGCATGAGGCCTTGGCGCCGCCGTGAAGCAGCTTTGTGACTTCACGAAGACGGTGAGTAATCGGCAAGGTAAATTGAGATTCTGGTGATATTGTTGAACTCGGTGTTGTATTTCGAGCTTGCTGGCATATGCTGTGCAACAAGATGCCCTACGAAGTATTGAAATGTTGCAAATCCCATATGTTTTTTTGACCCTGACCCCACAGATCTGCGTAAGGGGTGCCACTGGATTTCAAGATATGTGGCAAATCCCATGTGTTTTTCGACCCTGACCCCGCCGATCTACATGTGGAGTGCCACCGAAGTTCATACATGTGGCAAATCCTTTGTTGTGTTTTTGGACCCTGCCCCCGCCGATCTGCGTGAGGGGTGCCACTGAATTTTCGGAATGTAGCAAATCCTTTTTTTTGTTTGGACCCGCCGATCTGCGTGAGGGGTGCCACTGAATTTCAGAAATGTGGCAAACCCCATGTGTTTTTGGACCTTGACCCCGCCGATCTGCGCGAGGGGTGTCAATTCCGACCCCCTTCAGAAATTCTGAGCACGCGATCTGGGCGTGGTAAAAATGGCGGTTTGCGGCTCCCCCCCTCGCGCGGTCTACAACAAGGAACAGTAATAAGCAAGAAGCAGAACTAAAACACTGGAAACTGGAAACTGGAACTAGCGCAGGGAACAGCAAACCCTGGCCCTACAGCCTGGTGGCATCTGGTGGCCCCACAAGGGGGCCGGCGGATTTTGTTTCGGCTATTTTTGATTGTTGGTCCAACATCCGCCTATAGGGGGACACGCCCGACCTGAGCCTCGCTCGAGGACGCCCGAAGGCGGCAGCAGGGGAAGGAGCTTCGAGGGCGAGGGGTTCTCGTCGACGGGCCCCTGTCACGGAAGGGGTCGGTGAGGCCGCGCTGGAAGCAGGAAAGGTTTGTTGAAGCCGTTGGCGCTTACTTCCCCGTTCAGGGCTCGTTTCGACTCCTCCGATTCTATTCGATTCGATTCTTAGGCTTACGCCACACCGCCGACCCCTTGTTTATGCCAATCTGGGGGTAGTAGATGCTGCGAAGGGGTGAAAAGCGAGTTTTGGAGCCACTTGGGGGCCGTTTCGGAGCCTCTGGGGTGCTTCTTGGGGGTTCCTTGGGGCGTCTGGGCGGCCTCGTGAGGGCCTCTGGGGGCCTCTTGGGGCACTCTTGGGGCCCCCTGGGGCTCCTGGGGGCAGAAAGCTAGAGTTTCAACATGTTTGGTCGCCCTCTTGGGCCCCTGTTGGTGCCGTCTTGGAGCCCTCTTGGGCCGTCTTGGGGACATCTTGGGCCGTGTTGGGGCCGTCTTGGGCCGTCTGGAGGCCGTCTTGGGGGCCTCTTGGGCCATCTTGGGGCTTTCTTGGGGGCCTCTTTGGCCGTCTTGGAGCGTCGGGAAGCCGAAAAGGCGGAAAAGCAAAAAACATAGAAAAACACTATGGAAAATCAACAATTTTAGACTCTTGGGGTCCTCTTGGGAGGCTTGTTTGGGACCTCGGAGGCCGTCTTGGAGACCTCTTGGCCCGTCTTGGGGCCATCGTGGGCGTCTTGGACCGGTCGTTTGGCGTCTCGGAGCCTTCGTGGGCCGTCTTGGAGGCCTCTTGGGGGCTTCTTGGCCCGTCTTGAGGCCCTCTTGGGCTCGGAAAAGCCCCGTGAACCGCTCGTCCCGGACCCCCCCCGCTCGCGCTCGACCCCCCCCCCCCCCTCCAAATCGACCGGACCGGGCTCCCGGGGGAGGGGTTTGGGGAGGGGGAAGCATCTCACACGCCGATGATCCCCAAGGGGTCGGCGGATTTCGATGGCCTCCGATTCCGATTCGATTCTATTTCGGATGCCGATGTTCGACTTCCGATTCCGATTTGGGCTCCGATTTTTCATTCGAGGCCTACTAGCCTGCCGATTTCCACTGATTCGACTTTTCTCGGCTCGGCTGCCGATTTCCGCCGATCCGATTCATTTCGATCGCCGACCCGACTTGTCGGTTCGATTCTGGGCTCTTCTGCCCGTTCCCTTTTTCATCTGTCTTCTCTACCTCGTCTCGGGGGAGGACATCCATAAATACATATATGTATATATCTATATCTATAACACACTTAGCACACATATATATATATATATACATTTATATACATATATATATATATGGATGCACTTCGTTCCTCCTTTTCCTCCGTCCCAGGACGCGGGAGAGATGATCAGAGGAAGAGAAGGGAGGGAGGAGGAGTGAAGGAGGGAAGTGGACACGTAGACGTGGCCGTTGCATACCATGTCCAACCACGAAGTGCACAAAAAGGGTCGCCCCTTCTCCCCCCGTGTTCCCCCACCCCTCGGAGCCACTCCTCCCGCCCCCCCCCCCCCGCTGGCCCCGCACCCAGCCTTCTTCCTATGTGTTTCCCCCTGCCATCTCCCTTGGCATCGCTCGGACGTGTGCATTTTTTCCCGGCGAGGACCATCGAGGAGCATCCTTGATCATTTGGCGAAGAAACCACGCACGAAACCGAAAAAAGCACAGGGAATGGACGTCCGAGCGATGGCCAGTCTCCAACGTACGCAGCTCCGTTTCTTTTGCACGACAAAGCGGTGGGTCCTGCTGAGAGTTCCACGTTCGCTGTGGCACCCGTCGGCGGATCGAGAAGCGACCAGCGCAAATCGGAAGGGACGGGTGGGACGGGCAGGATGCCAGTTCTGGCGCGAGCGTACCCAGCTTCCCCCCCTCCCTCCCCGGTCCCCCTCCCCTCCCCCCAGCATGTGAGCATTACGGGAGCGAGCAGTTGAGGGTTCCCCTTTTTTTAAGGCTTGGTCATACGTCCCTTAATCTCAGCTGTGTGCGATATAGACTGCGTCTTAAGGACTGGCATTGGCCCAAAGATTTTGCCGATGACTCGAAGGGAGCTGTCGTAAATTCGACCTGGCGTTGGTGGATTTCTGATTCGCACCGCGATGGGGTTCATTCCGTTCCCTTCCCCTCGTCTCAGCGCGCCGGAGAGTGTTCTAATCCCCCCATCCCCCTTGACAAGGATCATTTCGGGCTTCGGAGAGTCGGCGGGTCAGCGCCTTCTACCTTCGTCAACTAGCCTCGAGAAGTACAGGTGTGCCAAGCCCTCAGGCTGCCACTGGGGTTGGCCACTCCCCACTGCTCCACCTATTACGCTCTTGGGTCTGGCTATACAGCACATGCCATGACCGGTTCCTGTATAGTTTGGCCAGTGTGGCAGGGAGTATGAATGCAAGCGCACCGCACATCTGACTCTCTCTTTCTCTTTCTTTATTTCTTTCTTTCTTTGTTTGTTTCTCTCTCTCTCTCTCTCCCTCTCTCTCTCCCCCTATATCAGAGTGAGGGGGCCGAACGGTCATTCATTGTCCCTGGGTACGTGGCTGAAGTGGGATTTCGCGGTGCGGATTCTCGTTGTTGTTGTTGTTGTTGTTGTTGTTGTTGCTGTTGTTGTTGTTGTTTGTTGTTGTTTGTTGTTGTTTGTTGTTGTTTGTTGTTGTTTGTTGTTGTTTGTTGTTGTTTGTTGTTGTTTGTTGTTGTTTGTTGTTGTTTGTTGTTGTTTGTTGTCGTCGTCCCACCCGCAACCCGCCCCGCGACCCACCCGCGACCCACCCCGCGACCCACCCGCGACCCACCCGCGACCCACCCGCGACCCACCCCGCGACCCACCCGCGACCCACCCGCGACCCACCCGCGACCCACCCGCGACCCACCCCCACCGCGACCCACCCCACGACCCACCCCGCGACCCACCCGCGACCCACCCGCGACCCACCCCGCGACCCGCCCGCGGCCCACCCCGCGACCCACCCGCGACCCACCCGCGACCCACCCGCGACCCACCCGCAACCCACCCGCGACCCACCCCGCGACCCACCCGCGACCCACCTTCGACCCAAACCACGTTCAAGGTGCAAACCACCATTTTCGGCGCCTGCGGCGGGCTTTTTTGCATCCCTTCCAGGTGGAGAGCCCGCGACCCACCCCGCGACCAACTCGAGACCAACCCGCTACCCAAACCACGTGCAGGGTACAAACCACATTTTTCGGCGCCTGCGGCGGGCATCTTTTGCATTCGCTTCAGGTGGAGAGCCCGCGGCCCACCTGCGACCACGATCTGGGTACGGGTACATACCACATTTTTCGGCGCCTGCGGCGGGCATCTTTTGCATTCGTCCCCGGTGGGGATCCCGCGGCCCACCCGCGACCCATTCCACGTTCAGTGTACAAACCAATTTTTTCGGCGCCTGCGGCGGGCTGCTTTTGCATTCCTTCCAGGTTGAGGTGCAGAGCCTGCGACCCACCCGCGACCCAAATCACGTTCACTGAACAAACCAATGCCGCACAAGCGCGGCGGCGGATTTTTGCATGCCGTCTGCGCCCGCAACGACCTCTTCAAGCCCCGCGCATCCACACCAGCCCGTCCAGCAACTTTGCCCTGGCGAGTTGCCTTGATCAGAGAAGTCGGGGAGCATAAAGTGGAAAAACGGATTGCGTTGCCGTTATCTTGGGAAAGGAGGGGGAGGCAGGAGGAGTAAACAGGGGACGAGGAGGACGCGACAGAAGAGAGGATGTAAGGAGAATGTGGAGAAAGAGGAGGAGGAGCGGCAGGAGGACGAGGAGGGGGAGGAGGGGGAG